GACTGGCAATATTTGTATAAAATATACTTTTTACTTTGATAATAACAGTAAGTATATAATAGTTCTATATAATAAAAATTTATATTAAAAAATATAATACTTTATAAAGATAAAAATAATTGCAGTTGTTAATACAACATCGTTTTGTGGAAAAGTAATAGAAGATAATGTACTAGTTATCACATCAGGATGTTATGAACAAAAAGTAAGTATTTTTAAATCTATTATTTTATTATATATAAAATATATATAATTATAAATAATATAATCTAAAGTCTAAAAAAACAAATGATACAACTATAAAATTATAAGTTTTTAGTTTAATAATATCATTAATCTAAGACATATTTAATTTGTAATTTAATTTAATATAATAATTATATATATAATTATTAAATTTATTTCTCTTTCAACAATTTAATAATTTTTTAGTTATGATAATAGTTTATTATATTAATAATATTTAAATATTCTTTTATAATTAATACAATTTAAAAGTAATTTGTTTTATTTTTAATATTATTATCTTTTTTACTATTTCATTGTAAATAATAATAAAATGATATTAATTTTTTTTTTTAAGAATAATATTTTTAAAGTTATGCAATTGTTATGTCTAGATTACCGCAATGATATAATAACTTTTGTCTAAATTTATTTTATTTTATATAAAATTTTTATATACTAATATTTTTGTAGATTAATGGTTACGTACTTGAAATGTGTGCTTGTGAAGCTAGAAAAGGAAAACCTTGTAACACATCAGTAACAATAAAATATTCTATTATTTTAATAAACACAATGTTATTACTTATATTTATAAGGTTATTTTAATTTTTGTAAACTTATTATAAATAAATTATAAACTAAATTATAATATATATTTATATGTTATTATTATAAATTTTTATTATAATAATTTATTATATAATTTATTATATTATATAATATATAATATTATATATTATATATTAACAAATTTTATATTATATATTAATAAATATTATTATATTTGAATATTTTAATATTATCTTTTTATTTTTTGTAAGTACTTATAATAAAATCGAAGATACATGAATAAAATTTTATAATTTATCAACAATTTAAATTTTTCTGCACAAAGGTAATTATTATTTTTTTCTTGTCGGTTTTCGATTAATAGTCAAAATTTGAAATTTATTAGAATCAATTTTAAGATAATATAAATTTTATAGAAAAAAAAAATAAAAAATTAATTAATTAATTTTCGACTTCGCTATGTGTAGCTCGTATAGGATATTAAATTCAAAACTATAATATGCCTTAATTTTTAATGTAATATATATATATATATATATTTTACATTCTCAATTTTATTATATATCTCTAAAATGACGATTTCTTTAAACATAATATATGATGTGAATGTTTTGATTCGAGATATCGATAGCAATAGATTTAAATTTTATAACAGAATATTTATTCTATTTCTTATTTGTAATTTTATATTGAAATTTAATTTCAATTCCAACCATTATTAATCTTATTTTAAGCCAAATCGGTAACATTGAGAATAATACGAAAATAGTAAAGAAAAATTCAATTTTATATCTCAAGACATGGGAAAAAATGCATCAAATATTGAATCTATATTATACTTTGTCTATGTATAAAGTCAATAAATATCAAATAATAAGATTATATAGTTATTTATAACTTTATAATCAATTGCAGATTAAAAAATAATATTGATAACTTATATTTTAATAATAAATGTTATGATTATATTATTTCTTAATAAAACTTATGTAGTAAAACAACATAATAAAAATAACTAAAATATTAAAATTATAAGATTATTATTTAATTATAAATTTAATTATTTTCAGCAAAATAAATAACGAAATATAATATAAAAAAAGTAAAAATTTCTTAATAAAAATTATTTTCAGATTCTATATATCGAAGCCATAACGATTCAGTAATTGAACATATCCATTTATCTAGGAACTTTTCGTAACAATATTATATATGGTTGTATGTATACAGAAAGAAAACTATTTATATGATCCGTTTATGAATCTGCTGGTAGTGCGGACCACAAAATACAGTGACTGATTTTGTATTAACCGCATGGTATATACTTTAAAATTGTATATGTCACTTGCATATAATATTTTGTTTGCAATATGTTAAGAAACTATTTATTTTGAGTATATAAATGGATATACTTGCCAACAAATGTAAGCATTATATCGTTATATTTTAACACGATTTTACGAAACAAAAACTTTTACTTTAGGTTATTGAACTATTTAAAATCATTTCATTTGATTATTAATAATTTAAATTAAATTTATTTTATTTTTCTTTTGATATTTTTGTCTTATTATATATATTTCTTCTTTTGTATGCAATCTATAAACAATTTTAAGTTATTCATTTTTATCTTTTTTTTTTAAAAAAAGAAAAATAAAATTCAATTTATTACAGAATAATTTTTTTTTGATAAAATAAAAAAAGTTTATACTTAATAGAATAATTTTGCTACAATATTTTATCTTTTTTTACTATGTATGCATATATTTCAAATAATGTTTTCTTTTTTTTTTAAAGAAACATCACAATATGGCAGAACAACAACAGTCACCTTCTGGCTTTAAACGTATGTCTTTAGATAAAATTATCGAAGCTATGACTTCAGATTTAGAAAGTTCTAATGGTCATTATGTTCAATTTGGTGTAAATCCACAGCAAACTACATCTCATAATTGGGGAAATTATTCTTCAAATCAAACAAGACATTATATTACTAGTCAATCTCCTCATTCTAATTTACCCCCAATGCAATCCATGTCTCCAATGGGTGCTCCTCTTTATATGCAAGATATATCTAATTATGATTCTCCAACAGATTCAATTTATTTTCCATCCCAAACAGGGGTAAATCATTTAGGTATAAATGAAAATAATGATTTAATTGGTACTATAGATGTTGGAGGAGGCAATTATATTAATGTGATTTATGGAAATGCTTCACAAATTATGGCAGAACAATGTCAGCTATCAAATATGACACCTTACAGAAATCAAAATATGATTGATCGAGAATATGGTCTTTTTAATGATCAACATATAAATATACCACCTGAATTACCAACTCAAAATTTTAATGGAAAACAATTAATTGAAAATTTAGTTGGTAATTGGGTACCAAACCAATCTGGAACATATAGTCCTTTTGGTGGATCTTCAAATGTAACTTCAGTAGTACAATCAAATATAGATATTAGAGATTCTGAAGAGTTACCTAGAAATTCAACTGATTCTCAACACAAAAAACCTCGTGTTGTAGCAGAAGTAAAACCTATGCGGCCTTCTTATTCTGATGTTCTAACAAAATCTGCTCCAACACCTCCATCACCTTTAACAATTCAATCTATAAAACCTAAAACAGAATCTGTAAATAAAAAAATTTCTAATAAAAATTCAAAAAATAAATCTAAATCTACAACATTAAAGAGACAAAATTCATCTGGAAGTGATGATCATAATTCTCCAAAAATGCAAATACCACGAAAAATCTTAGAAAAAAATAATTCAAATCTTCCAAGACGTTGGGTATCGTTAGATAATCTTGGTTCAACAACTGAAACTCATGAAATAAATACTTTTGATAGATCAAATCAATTTGAAAAAAAAAAAGTTTCTAAAATGTCTAAAAAAATAGAAAAAGGAGAAACACTTAATAATTCAAAAATTCAAAATAATAATCCCAAATCTATTGGAAATATTCTTAAACGTCCTATTCAAATAAATAATAATTTAAATATAATAAATGCTTCCAGTCAAACTATTTCTCCTGAAAAAATAGAGAAAAATCAACAAATTGTAAATAAAATGAATAAAGAAGAAAAAAAAGCAACCAAAGAAAAAAATTCAAAACGTTTTCAGACTGAAAAAACACAACAAATCAAAAAAGCTCAAAGAAATCGAAGAAGAGAAAATAAAGAATCACCAGTCAAAGATTTGTATAAAAATCTAAATAAGTATGCCAGTCATTGGATTAAAATTGGTTTAAAAATATTTCATTGGTTGCTACATTTAGTATCTGATGTAGTTAGTATGAGTGCTAATCTTATGATTTTACTGTAAGTAATGAAAAATATTATATTTTAATTCTGTATTTATTATTTTAATATATTTTACATAATCTGAATAATCAGATCATATATATTTACATTATAGTGCAAAATGTGGATGGTATCACACTATATTATATTTAAAATACTCATGGGTTTATATGGCTATAACATTTTCAAAAATTCGTATTTTAAATATTGTTGGTAAGCAATTGGATAACTGGTTTGGTAATAGTAAATTTGCATTTTGGCGTAAAATAAAAACTAAAAGTGAAGAAAAAGAAGAAAATAGTAATTGGATACATGGTGGTCTTGAAGCCAATATTGCATTACCTAGTACAGGTGAAGAAGCTATGAAAAGATTATTAGCATGTAAAGGAAAAGATCCTTATAGTATACTTGGTGTTACACCAACATGTTCAGATGATGATATTAAAAAATATTATAAGAGACAGGCTTTTTTGGTTCATCCAGATAAAAATAATCAGCCTGGTGCAGAAGAAGCATTCAAAATACTTGTACATGCATTTGACATAATTGGTGAACCGGTATATATATTTTTATATATATACATATATATATATTTATTATATATACTCCTGAAAAATTTATATTTTCATAATTCATTTTTATTATTTTTATTATAATTTTGTTGTACTTTTAATATTTACATAATATTTATATTGTACTTTTAATATTTTTTAGGAACGCAGACAAGCATTTGATCAAACTAGACAAGTTGAAGCAGCTTGGGGTGTATTAAGTGATTTACTTTCTCAACTTCATAGAAAGATGGAACAGGCAGCAAATACAATTAGATGTACAAATTGTGGTTTAAGGCATAAAAGAATTCCAACACAACGTCCTTGTTATGCAGCGCGATTTTGTGCTCAATGTAAAATACGTCATAGTGCAAAAGAAGTAATTATCAAAAATATATATATATATATATAAACAAATATATTGAATAATTCTTAAATTATTTTATATAAATTAACTAGGGAGATATCTGGGCAGAGTCTCGTTTAATGGGTTTTCTTTGGCATTATTATGCCTGTATGGAAGGAGCAGTATATGATGTTACTGATTGGGCAGCTTGTCAAGCTGGTAATTTAAAACACTTAAGAGCAAATACACATAGTGTTCAGTATAGAATTGTCTTAGGTCAACGACCACCATCACAAACGCCCAATAATGGTAAAAGACGTCAACAAATAGATCCGAATACCAGGTACTGAAATTTTATTAAATTCATAAATATTTTATGATTTTTAATAACATATAACACTATAATAAATAATTATTCACATTAAATAGTGAAGCAGACTTTGAAGACTTTTTAAATAATTTATACAATCACAGCAAGACCGGAAATTCAAGTCCACCAGATCAAAGTTCTTTTAGAGGGGACTGTAAGCGACGTAAAACTAAACGCAAGAAGTAAAAAATATGGCAAGTTACTTCCTAATCTTTTAGCATTCGTCATGTATAATTATACAGTAATATATATAATACCATAATGAATTCTTATATTCTTTCCTTCATATAAATATAAATGATATTCATTAACTCTAGCACAATATTGAAATCATATTAGAATGAATTTAAAAAAAGGATATTTACATAATTTTTGTTACCAAAAATATTTTTTTATTTATTGCAATGAAAATTTATTTCTAACAAATGTATATATTTATACAAAAATGCAATTGCAAATTACAATTTATTTAATAACTAGGTAACATTTGTTTAATGTTAGAAAAATTGTTTAAAACAAATATTTTAATTATTAATTTATATATGAAATCAACTTATACTATCTTAGATTAATAAAATATACATATTTAATGTATGTTAAAATACAAAAAATTGCAATCATACTAAAGTGTTAAGATGTATTGTGAATTAAAATTTCAAAAATAAGGATTAATTTTTAATCCATATAAAATAATAACCCCATATATAAATCATTTTCACAATCATTATATTTATAAATATAGAATTTATCAATTATAATTGTAGATTATATTAAGAAAAACAAAAATATATAAAAAATAATAATTTCAATTCTTAAAATATAAATAATCTTTCAATTCAACTGAAATATAATACTCAAATATTATATTAATGTTATATATCATTTTAATATAATATGCAAAATATAGTTATAGTAAGTTATTTCAATAATTTTTGAGAATTTAAAGAAACTGAAAGCAATGAAAAGAATTTAAAATCTCTTTTAAATCGCTTTGAATAATATGTTTATTTCAGTAAACTATTACTAAGCTAATATTTATAAAACAATATAACCATGTAATATAAATAAAAATCGAACAATTTTTTTATTATAAATTCAACAAATTTTATATGCTTTAAGTTTTTTGTTTTTTATAATTAAATACACATGATTAATGTAATAAAATGTTATCTAGAAGTCAAAAATTTACATTATTTCATTTGTAAGAAAAATGAATTTGTTTAATGAAATATTTATGGTAAAAATTGCAAAGTTTTAAAATTTTTTTGTTTTATTTTTACTATTAATGAAATAAATATTTTAAAGAAAATCTTTTTAAATAATATAAAAAAAAGATTCAGGGATAAAAATATAATTAGGTGACAGAGATATATTAATATAATTCAAAATTAAAAATATTTCTATTAAGAATATTTTTTTAACAATTTTCAAAATATAAGACTATTAAAATCATTATTTGATTTGCTTTATACTTATAATTTTTTATAAATATTGATTTTTATTATTTTTATTATTATTATTCTGAAAAAATATATATTTTTATCATTATTTAAAATTGCTAAAAAAATTAGTAGAAAATACTCTGAAAAAAAATTAATATTAATTATAAATTATATAAATTAATATAAGTTAATATATTAATGTACATTCTGATCACCTGATTTCAAAATATTTTAAATAATATAATTTAATTATAAACCAGCTAAAAATATATAATTGAATTTATAAATTCAATATGAAAAATATGCTACCTTATTATTAAATGTAATAATAATAAAATTTTATTAGTAGTACATATGTAGTACATATTCAAAATATTATTATATATATGCAAATTAGCAAATTGATAAAAAATATTATATAAATGATAATTGATTTTACCTGATAAAATTAAAACAAGAATTATCTCATTTAATTGATAAATTATCTCATTTGATTTCATGATAAATGTTTTTTATATAAATGTTTATTACAAGATAGAATCAAAACTAGAATATTTTTAAAATAGAATAATATAATTTGTTGTTTATTTTAATTTTTTTTACTTTTTAATTTAATTTATTTACTAAATTTTATATTAAAACGTACTATGCGTACTAGTAGATATTAGATGAAATATTTTGTAATTTATAATATTTTGTTTTAAAATATTTAATAAAAATTTGTTATTTGTAATAAAATTTTAGCAATCATATTTTTTATATTTTTTAATTTATGATTTTTAACAAAAAATTTTTAAACAAATTTATTAATTTTTAACAAAATTACAAATAGAAATATTCATAATACATTTAACCAGAAAATTCATATAATTTCTATCAAATTTTATGATAGATATTTTTTAAAAAATATATATATTTTTTTTATTGATAACAATTTTTTATTATAAAGTGATATTATTTAGATAATTTAGTTAATTAATTTAATTAACTAAATGAATTAATTAAAATATTTTGAAAAATCAGAATGGATAGTTTAAACTATTATTAAATTCTTTTTGTAAAATAATAACTCGTAAATAAATGCAATGTTATTTATTTTTATTTTTAATATAAGAATGAAAAAGTGAATAAAATAAATAAAAATGAATAAATATTTTAATTTAATAATTCTATTTTTATGTTATGGTAAAATAAAAACTAATTAATTGGCATGTATAAAATAAGACTGATTTTTTCTTTCTATGTTGTTCATAAATATATATTAGATAAAAATTTAAATACTCTTTTCCACATGAAAAATATTTTTTAATATTTTAAATAAGATAATTTAAATAATTTAATCTTTACATTATACAAATTACAACAATTAAAATGAAAATTAAAATTAATTCCAATGTACAAATTTCATCCTACATCATAGAAGGTACATTACAGATAACCTAGAAATATTTAATAAAATAATGTGAAAATATTTTAAAAATATATTTATATGTATAATATTATAAACCTTATTTAAATATTTGTATAATAATAAAATTATGCAATTCTTTGTACATGCAGATGAAATTATATAATTGTATTAAATGAGTTTTACAATAAAATGGATATTAAAATACATCTTAAATGGATGTTAACATTTTAGTATAAATATAATAAAAAACATTTCTGTTATGTGAAATATGTTTAATTAATTAAATATTAAACTTAATAATAAATTTAATAAAATTTTAATTTATGTACATAAAAAACAAATGAATTTTATTATACTCATTATCGTAGTCTTAATTTCTATAAATTATAAAATATAATATTATATATTTATCTTTCATTTTTTAATGATAAGTTAAATTGTTTTATGTTTCTTTGTATTAAATATGGAATATTTAAGCTATATTTACATATTCTGTGTATATATATATGTATATATATAATTTTTTTTCAATGCAATATTATAATATTAAAAAAAAATAAAAAGATAATATTATTATTATTATATTATTATTATTATATTGAAACATAAAAAAATTAAACATTTTATTAAATTTTAATCTAACATTCCTTCTAAAAATACAAGTGCATCAATATTATTAATTGCACTTTCTACATCTCTTTTTTGTATTGTTTTTTTTTTCATTTGTGCTGTATATTTATATGATTCTTTAGCAAGAGAATCAATAAAAAGTTCCTGTAATATAAAATTTAATGATTAAGATATAAAATATTTATTATAAAAATTAGTTCATTTAATAAATATTAAAATTGGAATAAAATAATAAAGCATATATATAATATTAAAATATAGACTATATACTATTATATATTACAATTTTCATTTAATATAATATTATATATTATATTATATAATATAATATAATTTGTTTAATTGTTTATAAAAATAAGAAGTATAAATTAAATATAAATTGGAAAATAATTTTATTATATTTATAATTTAATTGTTAAAAGATGATTAATTACAAATTTTTTAATATTTTAAGATAGAAACAATATTATATTAATTCCGTAAATAAATAAAATATAATTACCGTAGATTTTGTAATTAAGAAAACAGCCTCCTGGTTAACCATATGTACTTCAGGATCCATTTTTATAATTGTTTTTATTCTACCTAATGGTAATTTTACTAATTTTTCTTTTTGTTCTTCATCAATACGAGCATTATTTTCAATTTCTTCTTGAGAATTTTCTTTTCCTGTACTACTAATACTTTCATTTAATTCCTTGTCACTTACACTTCCTTCCTCTTCAAAATGTGCCATGTTTATATATATTGATTTCATTTCAAAATTCCAACAGTTACAAAATTAGTTTTAATAATAAAATTTTCAAATAATTCGATTATTGAATAATGCATATTAAAAATCATTGTTAAATGTTATTAATTTATTAATATTTAAGATTATATTATTCACACTTTATTTATATTTTTAAATTCCGAACTATTTAAAATAATATTATATGTATAGAAATGTAGTACTTAAATTTTTAAGGTCTTATATGTATGTTATGTAGTATTATTTTATATTAATATATATTCTTTAAAATTAAACATTATTAATAAATAATAAATAAATTAATTAATATTAAATAATATTTGAAAGTTATAAATTTCATAAGAATTTGAATAGTTAATCTTATTTTTCTTTTAGGTTATCATTATATATTCATAATATATAATATATAATGATTCCAGAATTTTTAATTTTTAATTATATCAAAAACAAAAAATTAAATACTCACATAATTTTATATTGTATATTATTTAATATTTGGCGGGTTATATTAATCTAGTGATAACATGATATTCTAGTGGTAGAATATAAAATTTTTAATAGTATTCTTTATTATGGTTTTAAAGAGAAAAGAATTTTTTTTCTCTACTTTATTTTAATGAATTTAACTATAATATATAACATATAGAAGAAATTATTTAAAAATCTATTTTGTTAAAAAATTATGTACTATGCTATAACTATCAAGAGATATAGTTACCAATCTAAAACATTTTAATACAATGGTAGATGTCTTTTCAATTTCCACATGGACATTGGGCTTTTATTTACGACTGATAATTTGACAGTCGTTTCAAAATTTATGAAAACCTCTTGAAATATGGAAGAGAAATCTTGTAAAGAGCAATTAACAGAAAATACAGGTTCACAAATATAAATTAAAATTCAAAAGAATGAACATATAACTTATCATATTTGTTTTATTACAGATGTCAACCAAGATGAGTTGATTCTTCAACAACAAAGGCGAATCGAAATGGAGGTTAATATATATTATTATTACTGTATAAATTTATTTTTTTTACTTGATTATTAAGTAATATTTAAATTGAAAAATTATATATCTTTGTTTATAAGATTTTAATAATTGTCATTAATTTTCGTTCTTATTTTTTGTTTTTTTTGATTTTAAATCATTTGTTTATTTGATTATCTTATTATATCCTAGATTATATGTAATTAAAATATAATTATAATTCAAATATAAATTTTGTAATTTAATATTTGATCTTTATTTCTTTATTTTATATGAATTTCTTTATTATTTTATGAATGAAAATATAAAATTATTTTCCAGATTTCTGAATCTATTGCTTTAGTTGGAGAAAAAGAATCTATAAAAAGTTTGGAACGTGAATATTCTGAAGATGAAGTATATTTATCAAAAGCTAAAGCATTAGGTCAAAAATATTCATATATTAGGAGAACTAGACCTGATGGAAATTGCTTTTTTAGAGCTTTTAGTTATGCATATCTTGAAAAGTTAATTGGAAATAAAGATGAATATGAAAAATTTCGAGAACTTGCATTAAAAAGTAAAGATAATTTGGTAGCATTAGGTTTTCCTCAATTTACAGTTGAAGATTTTCATGATACGGTAAATATGTATTGTTATAAATTATAAATAATAAATTTATGATTTGTTTTTTTATTTCTTTAAATTTACAGAAATAAATGTTTTATTTTTTGCATTATAGTTTATGGATGTAATTGATAAAGTAGGAGAAGATGCAGAGTCAAGTTATATTGAATTACATAAACTTTTTAATGAACAAGGTTGTTCTGATTATGTTGTTGTATATCTTAGATTAATTACTTCTGGTCAATTACGACGAGAAGCTGATTTTTATCAGCATTTTATTGAAGGAGAACGTACTGTTTCAGAATTTTGTCGTCAAGTGAGTATTATTGTATTGTTATTTATGATAAAAAAAATGTATATAAGATATGATTAGTAAAATTTTCTAAGAAAATTTTAAAATCTCTTACATTTTAATTAGTATTGATTAAATTATTTTTATAGGAAGTAGAACCAATGTACAAAGAATCTGATCATATTCACATCATAGCTATGAGTACTGCTTTAGGAACTGGAGTACGTGTTCGTTATATGGATCGAGGTGCAGGAACTGAAGTAACAGCACATGATTTCCCTGAAGGTGCTACTCCTGCCGTTCATTTATTATATCGTCCTGGTCATTATGATATTCTATATCCTTGATAAATGATACATTAAACTTACATACAATTTTTTAAAAAATCTCATGACAAAGATCAATTATTTAGCAAATTATATCTTATGTATGTAATTAAATCTCATAAAATTTTTGGAAGTTTGGTTAAATATATGTTATAATTGTAAGTAATTAATTTAAGTATTATAGAATATTCAATAAAATTATGAAATTTTATGTAAAAAAAATTGTTTTTTTTTAAATAATAAATTGTAATTGATCTTTATAATTTATAAATATATTGTATTATTTATAATTTTATTATAAGTTTATTAAATGCATTAAATAAATAACAAAAATTATATTAATAAATCTTAAATATTTATATTTTAACTTGAAATATGTAATATATATCAAATTTCTATTATACATATTATAGAATGATATACACATAAGAATGATATATTTTTATTATAATAATTATGAAATATAATAGTTGATTAAATTTTATTACAAATTAAAGATAAATGTTAAGTAAACAATGTTTTATAATACTATATAAATATTCATAAAATTGAACTCTATTATACAAATCACATAATAATCTTATTTATATATTATATATTATAAAATATATATACAATTATATAAACTGAATTTTAATAGATTAATTTGTTTCACTAGTAATAATAATACAATATTATATTTAATTAAAATATATTATAATAATATAATATATTAGTAATAATAATAATATAATACAAAAATACAAAATATATCATTAAGTATATATTATAAATAAAAATATGGTAAATATTTATTATAATTTATCTTTGCATAGCACGTACTTGTTCAGTAACTTCTTCCAAAGTCATAAAACTTCTGTTAATAGATTCCATTTGATATTCTAAATGAGTAGTTATAAGAGCAATTTTTTTTAGATTAGCTTCTGCAATCTCTACACCATGTTCTTGCTGTGCAAAATTTTTTGCACTATGTATTATTATCTACAAAAATATTTGAATTATAAAAAAAAATAATATTTATACAATTATATATTTGGATAATAAAATAATAGATAATAGAATTATTGAAAAATTATATAATTAAATTTTACTTCGCTACTTTTTGAACCTCTTTGTATTTGTCTGGCAAGAGATGCAATATTGTTCACATTAACTTGTACTCTATCAGCTAATCTCATTTTTGATTCAACAAATAAACTTCGAGCACTTGTACTTGAAGCTGAAGCCATAGTGTATAAGTATTTATTAATTTTTAAAATTAATAAATAATTTTAATTTATTTATTATAGTAAATTTAAGTTTATATCTTCATTTTGATAACTTATTACCACATGTATTAAATTATGTAAATATTATAATTTTTTATTGTCTGTAATTATTAATTATAGATTAATAATAGATTTAAATAATATTTAAAAATTAATAATATATTAGAATCTTATTCATTAAAATTCTTTTTTAATAAAAAATTGCAAATCGCATGTAAACAAATAAATTATATGACATTTAAAATACAATAATCAAAATAATAAAATCAGCTGATAAATATTACCACAGACTAGATATAGAGTAGCCTTATCATTCAATATTTTAGACGTTGACTAATTTGAATTAAGTTCGTTATTTTATTGTTCGAAATTATTGCATTATTTATGTTTATATTGAATTTTGAAATTTGCGAATAAATTTATGCGCAGAAAGATATCTTTTTATTTCATAGTTTCAATTTTAATAATTGAATCGATTGAATTTCCCTAGATTGATTATTTTATTTTGTTTACTTTCAATAAGTCGACTTGGTAAATATATTTAACCTAAATCTAATTTAAGCTATATTATATATAATATATATATAATAAAAATTTTGTAGAAGATAACTTATAAATTACGTATATTTTGAATATTATATGACTTTATAATTATAAAATAATGATTTTAAAGTTCATAAAAATATAACACGAAACGAAG